GAGGTGAGTGCATAAAACCCATCCAGCTCACTAAAGGGAGTCGATTCTTTTGAACAGCTCTTCAGCTCACATTGGAATTATAGACATTATGACACAAATTGGATAATTAATTAGTGGTTTTAGTGCTTAAAACCGCATGCAATCGTAAAAGTAGTCTAAACCAATAAATCCGTACCTTAATACATGGCTTTACTTTTCAATGGAAAACGCTACTAACGCAATAACTGATTAACCATAGCGTAAACCGAAATGCGCAAAATGTGCCAGCAACATAACAAAAAATGTATGCGAAAAAGCTACACCTATGTCACACACGATGATATGATTGACATCGTGGCACACGATGTTACGCCTTTTCTCAAGCTATGCAATCCAGTCTACATTCTGATGTTATTTCTTCAGCAGAATTTCTCTCACTATTCTCGGCATCAGCTTCAGATCATCAGCTCAGATCCGGATCCGGAGCTGAATCGTGAAAAATCGAGAGAAAAAAAAGATCCGAAGAGCTGGACGGGTCCGAGAGTTGTCATCCTAAACAGCTCCCAGTGAATCATTCGGGACGATGATTCCGATCCGGAGCTGAGCTAATAAGCTGTAGAGCCATAGAGGTAACTCTAAGACTAGAAGGTCCCGAATTAACGTGCTCAACTTTTTTGCTCAGCTCTGGTACTCTCTTCGGTCCCAAGCTAATCGATTCACCCCTCGAAACATAGGAAAAACCAATAACCCCTCATTTTATCTGTCAAACTTTCATAGCGAATCAAAACAAACATTGCGTAGTACTAGAATTTCGACTAGAATGGGATACGTTAATCGTTTGCTTGGGACCAATAGGCTAGTCAAGTAGTGAGCCAATTTAAAATCGTTAGTTTCGTATTGATTGTTGGTAGAGCTGCATTTCGCTTTTTCGGTTATTTGCTTTTGTGCCGATCTTCCGCTCCCCCAGAGAATTATGGGAGGAGAGGTGAGAGCACATATACTGGAGGAATAACATCTACTGGGTAATACCAATAGAAAATTAAGATCATGTAGCACATGCACATATTTCTCTCTCTCCCAAACAGCCGCTGTCGATCAGTAGGCACATGTTGTATTACGCCAATGAGATATACATTCAGGAGTGGCACATGATAGTGTTTGTTTGTGTTTGAGAGCAATACTACGAAACATTTTCGGAGATGAAAAGTGGTGACGACACAAGAACCAACTCTCCGAACAAAAATCGTGATTGTGACGTCGCAACTTTATTGTCTCCGGTGCCTGAAGCCTCGGGTACACGGGACCACACTACCACCCATAAAGTTTGCCCCGCTTACTAATACATTCGTAAGAGGCACTGCCTCACCTATAGGTAAAGCACATAGGTATTACGCGCGAGTCTTGGTTTACGCGGTGACTGTTCAATGCGTTAGTTGAGTAATGAGTCCTTTTTTGAAAAGTTCCACTATGAGTGATGGATTGAATGGATTAGACTTGTGATATCAGTGATCTGATGAGCTACGGTTCCTAAAACATGAACCGCGGGTCATCAGCTGGCTTTAGAGAATCGGGTCTATAGAACAGCTCGGGAGCGGATCGCCCATCTCTAATTTCCATATCGCATAACTATTGCCGACCGTTTCCCGCGTTGGCCAGAAGCAATTCCACTCCAGGACATGACAGCGCGGACAGTTGCTATGGCCTTATAAAATGAATGGATAGCACGTTTTGAAACAATCACAACTGACCGGGGACGTCAATTCGAGTCCCAAATCTTTCAGGAGCTGACACATTTGCTTGGCGTACATATCACATTCACACCACCGCTTACCATCGACAATGAAACGGAATGGTCGAGCGCTTTCATTGCATTGATGTGTACCAACTCGAAAATTTGGTATGATCGCATTCCTTTGGTACTGCTGCTTGGTTTGAGGTCTGCATTTCGTGAAGATTCAAAGTGTACAGTAGCAGCTGTAGAGGTCTACATATGATCCACCAGCTCATTGCGTGAATCGTTCGGATTTTGTGAAGATTCTACATCAAATATTCTCTGATGCAAAATTGCCTAAAGGAACGCGACATGCCAAGGAGAGACTCTATTTGAGTCCCGAATTGAAGGATTGCAGCCATGTGTTCATTCGGATCGATGCAGTTCTACGACCACTTCAACAACCATATGAAGGACCATACGAAGTTCTTAAAAGGAGTAACAAAGTTTTTGAAATTCTGGTGCCTGGCAAGAAGCAAATCGTTTCAATCATTCGAGTAAAACCAGCATTCATTTGTGATGGCAATCTGTCTAGTTATCCACAAGATGATCGTCGCAAAGTAATTACACCAGTAGGACATTGTGTTCGATTCATGGTGTAACTGGGCGGGTGGCGAACTGACAGCGCCACCCGATGCGTGAAGAGAGAACCTTCAAAAGAGAAAGTCACGAACAAGTGTAAACACATACGTATCGGAAATAAAACGCAATTCACTTTGTAGTAAACGCCGTGGTTTTCTATTCGCGAACCAAATTGTTCCCACAGTCCTTTTAAATGATAGCTTGAAAGCTGATGTGTATTTGCCCCGTGCTGAGTAATGAACATTTTAAAAAGCTGTATTTTATATAGAAAATCGTTTACATCGCATGATCTTTAACAGATATTAAATAGCTTTATTCGGCAAAAATGTGTATGTATTTTTTTTTTTTTTTTTATACACCCTAATTAAATTCTTAAAAATTACTCTAAAATGAGAACGTTGCCTTCACAAAGTTGCTTCTCAAATACATCTTTACTGAACCACATGAAGTCAAACAAAATCAAGGCTAAAAAGTTAGTTTCTGACAATCATTTAATTTGAGGCCCACCCTAATGTTCACAACCACCAGAAAAAGGGAGTCTTCAAGCACAAAAACTTCACCAACGTCACCAAACGTCTAAATATTACAGTAAATGCTCTAGGACTAGTCAATTCCACCAGAATTCCCATGCTCAGGGTATGCACTGGATTTCAGAAATTAAATTCCCGGGAGACACCACCATAATTTTCCCGGTTTCATAAAAAACAGCATAACAAGAACTAAACCACAGACAAACAGACTTAAAACATAGACAATTTTTCACTGTACAACATCGTTACTAAAACACTATTCGCCATCAATTGCGCACGCTGTCATGGGCAGTACGCTCAACAGATGGCGGTACACGGCGAATGAGAACGACCCAAATTGAGTATAGTTCACTCATAATCGCCAAAAGTACACACGGAGATGAGAAACTACTCAAAATTAAGCACTTTTCCTTCAATTCTATAGTAGTTTCCATTTAACACCAGCAAAAAATTTCTTACTCTTAAGTATTATATTATATTCCACCCAAAATTATGTTTAATTCACGTAAATTTTAGAATATGCAATTTACTCAAAAGTAATTTATCGGGCTAAACTATATCGTTGGGTCGAATCTATCGTTCCTTTTTTGACAACAATAACGAGTGCAAGTGAGAGGCTCATCTCAAAATTAAGTAAAAAGCACTCATATTAAGGGTAGTATTTTTTCTCCGTGCAGGAACTCAGTGATTAATAAATTTGCCTCATGGTTTGCAGTGGAATACCTCAAAAACCTGGCGGAATATGAAGAAAATCGACTAAAGTTTTACTCAGTCTAGGAGTAGTACCAATAGACTAATGCTGCCTTGTTTAGACTACAGAGTTATAACATGTTATAGCGCTATTTTGATGGTGGTTTCTGTGTTGTAATTATTAAACAGGTATAACATGTTATAACTCTGTAGTCTTCAAATGATCAAAATTCAGAGAACGATTAACGAAAACGTAGTTTTATAAAGGCTATTATTATTGAAATATTGTGCAAACTTCATACGCATCGAGTCCACAACTACAGTACCCGTTCGATTTTGGCAACAACACCGTGCTATGTATTTTTGCACGTTGTTATTACAATTTTTAATAAAAGATTAATTACTAATAACGTCCATGTCATCAAGACCGTTCGATTCTGGCAACACATTTTTGAGCTTGTTTGCCAAAATAGAACGCGTATTGTACATCGATATGTCTTGAATGTTTGATCAACCAGCAGTTTCGCGACTCTCTTGGTAGCAAGACATCAGTAAAGTGTACTACCGATAAAAGCATAACAGTCACATCTTTGCTTGATTTCCTATATTCTAATGGGACTGCTATGCATCTATGGGTAGTGTATGAGAATGAACTGTATTAATTGATTTTACAGAAAATTATTTCCAACTATTTTAAAGTAATAGTTGTACCGCATGGTGGATATTTACTATCACTATGTACTTGAACAAAAACTACATACACTTTCCAATTAAAATATTAGGATCACACGTATGAATAAAAGAGAAAAAGAGACCCACAACCAAAACTGCCATGATTCTGTTTTGAACAAAGGAAAATTATGTCACTCATGATTATTGAAGCACCTGACTAGCCGCGAACTATCGGATTTCCATTGACCTGGTTTACCATAATTGTGTCCCGTTCCAAACTCAAAAGAAAAAAAAATCATTGATCTAAAAAAAAAGGCCCTCGAACCCGCCGAATAAAACCGAACCCATCCACGTGGATATCGGCGGAAGGAGCGGCTTTTTGGAGTTAGTAGTTCCTAGGTTTGCATTAGCAATCATCAAATAACAATAAATTATCCCTTAAAAAATCAGGCATCCAGAATGCGAGAATTGAACGACAAACGAAAAATGCATTGAACAGATTTTCAAACAAATCATAAACTAACAGAAGCAAACGCAAACGCTACAATCCAAATAAGAGTTCTACCCTAGAATTTCTTAAACCTTATATTCTTCTCGCGGTTCGTCCATCCTACGGAAATCCACCTCTTCATACCATTATATTTCTTTCACATCCAGATCACAAATGCATTGAAGTTTACCATAACACTCTAGGTTCTCTATAAATGTATGTTTTTGAAGTATAGACAAAGAAAAAAAAAGTAGTGTAAAAGCTTGCAGTTCAGAAAACAACCCACCTGTTCCCAATCTTCTCTTTCTGTTTGCTCATGGCCTGTTCGGCTTCGGCATCAGTTGCAAATTCAACAATCGCCTCCCCAGATGCCCGTCCCAGCTGATCCAGTGGCAAAACAATCCCATTATAGCCATTCTTTATCGTCAACCCTGTGTGTGTATGTAACGTTGGTTTTAAATTTGGTTTGAGAAATATCAATCGAATCTGTTAAGTTGAATCAAAAAAAGGAAAGGGATATAAAAGGGTAAGGAGTTTCGTTCTTAATCCCGCAATGTCCCACAGGAGCCCTTCCCTTGAGGGGGATGCTTTCTTGCTGTAGTAGTCCTCCTTTGACGGGAGGGTACGACGAGGCAAAACCCGTTGTGCCACTTTGAGCCAAGAACGAAACTGTTTGCCGAGCGCGTGATAGTTGATTTCCTAGGAACGATACCCACAAAACTAGAGAGATAGACAGAAGATAGATAGTGCACGTTAATTTTTGTTCCCTTCAGAAATGGGAAATAGTTGGAATAGGGAACCAAGAGTAGCAAAACATTTTTATTTTGTTACGCACGTTAGTAGTTGGGAAAGAATCTGAAAGAATACCGCCCATCACCGGCTGTCCCCACGCGAAGACTCTTCCGTTTCCCTCTGCTTGTCCCGTCACGTTAGCTATGTACCTCCCAGGAAATCGGCCACAATCGCACCCGCCCTCGCATTGGCACACTTACCGTTGAAGAAGCGCTTGACGTCATCCTTGGTGCAGGACCAGGGCAAGCCACGCAACTTCAGTACCGGACCGCCATCCTCGGCGTTCTCGTCCCGGTTGACAGCCGTATCAAACTGATCGTCCGAAGCCGTGAACACCTCGATGTACCGATGGCCGAGGGTGGCCTTGTTCTGATCCAGCGCCTTGATCTGATCATCCAGCGTCGGCAAACGCAAGTAAGCTTCGCCCGTCTGACGCTTGGTCATCTGGTTGATGCAAATGTGCACCTGATCAATTTCGACTCCGTTCAAAAAGTCGCGGATGTCAGCCTCCGTGATGTTCCACGGAAGTCCGCGCAAGCGAATAAAGAAACCGGATCCGCATCCGTCGTTTCCGTTCCCGTCATTATAGGGCATGGTACTTGTCTGTAAACAATAAAAATATGTATGAAACCGAATAACATCAAACCCAAACAACGCAACACGAAGAAGACAGAAGCCGAACCAGAACCAAACAAGAATTGATGACAGTCGGAAGCGTCGGAAGCTTACTACAAGAAAATTCACCGAAGGCAAAGATAAGGAACACGAAAAAAATGCCACTTGGTAATGGGCTGCGAAAAGACGCCGCCATCTTGGCAAATGCGATGCGTCGTTTAGAAAAATTTACATTTTTTAGATAGTTTCTCACAAATTTACACGTTAAGCACATAAAATTTATATTTTCCGATCATTCATTGTAATTGAAACAGTAATCAACACCATTAAACCGGAAATACTGGAGTTTTTGAAGCATTTTCAGCAAAGTGCGAACATTAGCCCGAATTTAAAAAACTTACCATTTTAGAATACTTCAACTGTTTTTCAGCAAACTTTAACCTCGATGAATTTCCCCACACACTAATGGATCGATTTCACAAGTTTTCACTAACTTTTGCACAACTTTCACTAGGGAAAATATTTTTCCCAACTACCCGGTGAAAATTCGACAAACCAACGCCGGTCGCAAATGAAGTTGAAATGAATGAATGGCGGCTGCGTACCAAGAAGTACAGAGAGAGGTGCAGCAGATCAGGAAATATTGTTGGATTAGTAAACCAAAAATCAACGTAAATGCAATAAAAGACGTCACAAATTGCTTGTATCGTACAGGGGTTTCACTCACACAACTTTACCGAATGTTTTACCTCGGTAATCTGGCAGCTTGGCTGCAGCAAACGAAGAAGATCGAAAGGAAAATTTAAGAGAATTCGTACAATCCCTGCGGCTGAAACTTTGCCACAGTTTATCGGTGAAATCAAGAACAAAGTTTTAAAACGAACTACAGTATCCCCTAGCCAACTCATTCATACCATTCATATAAATACTGTCGGTGTATAATGAGTCACGCCAAGAGTGAAGCCAAGTCTACCAATTGAACTGTCAGACTGGCTACCTATCGTGCAAAGTAAACAAACATTACGATGCTATGAAAGGTACACGCAAGGTATTGCAATAAAATATAAAATATATATGAATAAATGATCATAAACACGCAGTGAGCATTAAATTGTCATGGGATACGTTTGGTAATGATCAGTAATAAGAATTTCTACTATTTTTTGATAAGATAATTTGACAAAATCACTGAAATAACGATTCACTACAGCCGCTTTTTTTTCTCGCTAGAAGTCATTTGAAGTTGATGTAGAAGTCCTCTGTTGCCAAGCAGCCATGGTAAAAACACTGAACCCTTTTGCACGGGTGGCAGTTTTGTCTACAAACACACCACCAAGAGCATTGGGTTTTACGCGTCGTACCAGTGCTCGATGGAAAACACCAAACGCAGCGAACAAGGCACCGGTACCGGTGCCTTGTTCGCTGCGTTTGGTGTTTTCTATCGAGCACTGGTACGAAGCGTACAACTCAATGCTCTTCGTGGTGTGTAAAAGAGGCAGTACGCAGTGTAGTGTTGCGTTTAGACATGCCTGTTGCCAAGTGAAAAGAAAGGGAATCTTTCGAAAACCGTGATGCGCATACAACTGTTTTTTTTTCTCTTGGCGTGACTCATTATACACCGACTCTTATTCATACAGATTCATACCAAATTTATAAAATCTATTCGGTACTTCTTTTTTTTGCTGAATTCGTTCTGTAACATATAATTTGTACCGAAAGCTTTGTAAAATATATTGTTTTACCATCTTTCAGCAGTAAATAATACTGAATTTCCGTACTATCAGAAAATTAAGGAAAACTGTAAATAAATATTACTTTTTTGACAGTATCGTAGAATTGCAGTCATTTACAGTTTATGACTGCAATTCTACAATAAAGGGTGTCCACGATGAAATTGCCACACTATGAAATTGCTCTAACTTTTTAACCGTTGGGTAGAATTTAATGAAAATTTGGGTGGATTTAGTTCATAGTGCATTATTTACATCCTGCAAGTTTTAAAGTCCTGTGATCAAAGCTCGCAGAAATGGAGTCGAAAGAACAGCTCGTGCGTGATAAAATCTTGCGTATTCATCACGAGAACAAGGATCTCTCGCATCGTTCCTTCGCTAAAACGTTGGGAATCGCGAATTCCACGGTGTCGCGAGTGATTAAGCGGTTCGAGGAACGGTTGACCACCGATCGGAAGCCCAGAAGTGAAGGAAAAAGTATTCCGTACAACACCAAAAATCACAACCGCGTAGTTGGGGCCTTCAACCGAAATCCGAACGCCTCCGTTAGGGATGTGGCTAAGAAGCTGCACCTAAGCCGAAGTTTTGTCCAGAAGGCCAAAACTAAGGCTGGGCTTCGAACGTTCAAGGTACAAAAGGCCCCTAATCGCGACGAGAAGCAGAACAAGTCCGCCAAAACCCGTGCCAGGAAGTTGTACCTCAACATGCTGACGAAAGTTGAATGCTGCATCATGGACGACGAAGCATATGTAAAGGCCGACTTCAAACAGATCCTCGGCAACCTGTTTTTCACGGCCAAGAATAAGTTCAGCGTTCCGGAGCATGTCCGCACTCAGAAGATGTCCAAATTTGCGAAGAAATTCCTGGTTTGGCAAGCCATCTGCACGTGCGGGAAGCGGAGTGCACCTTTCGTGACCCAGAACACGATGAACGGACAGGTGTACATAAAAGAGTGCCTCCAGAAGTGGCTGCTTCCTCTCCTGAAGGCCCACAACGTCCCAACAATCTTCTGGCCGGATTTGGCCTCATGCCACTACTCCAAGGACGTGCTGAAGTGGTATGCGGACAATAAGGTCAATTTCGTGCCGAAAATGTTAAACCCTCCCAACACTCCGGAGCTCCGCCCCATCGAGAAGTACTGGGCGATTATGAAGCAGCACCTTCTTAAACGACCTAAGGTAGTGAAGACAGTCGAGGAACTGAAGAAAGTATGGATTTACATGCAAAAAACGGTTGATTCACAGGTTGTGCAGAATCTTATGGCCGGGGTTAAGGCCAAGGTGCGGGCATTTGCGTATGGACTGTAAATAAAATACGAGTAAAATGGTAAAATGAAGTTTAATAGTTATTTCTCAATCCCTGAAAATTTGATGGCAATCGGATGAAAACTCGAATTTTTCGAATCAATTTTGTGTGTGGCAATTTCATCGTGGACACCCTTTACTGTCAAAAAAGTGGCGAACGTACTTACAGTACAGTCTTTTACAAAAACAAACTTTAGTAAAGTACCAGATTCTTGTAAAATTACGGAACAGTACAGAACAGTGTAAATGTCATACTATCAAAAACATCCTTTGCCGCACGGAAAAAAGTTTTCATGTAGTTTCTATTGGGAATGGCCATAATATTTTTCCATTAACAATACCAATAATATCTATCTGAATTTCACATAACATTCATGTGATCAAATGAGTTCTATATGATAAATCACTTAAATTTCATTTGACACATAAGGTTCATGTGATTTTGTGGTGCAATTTCCAATTATGATATCACATGAAAGTTATGTGAAATTCTAATGAATATTTTCCATTGGATATGTGATTTATTCTTTGAGTGTGCTATTTCGAGATTGAATGTTCTTTGGTTCTCCCGAAAACGCACACTCACGTACACATGCTTGCTTGAACAAGCAAGGCTCTGGCTTGAGTGCTTCTCCTTGTACATGGTTCGGTTGAGTCCAGTCGTGTAAAAGATGTTGTAGGTAGCAATGCGTGTTGTGCGGCTTATGTAGTGTCAATGTAGAGTGTGATGGAACCAGCTTTTGTGATTTGCGCGAGGGGGGCGAAAGTAATCCATTCTACATTTCTTTTAGCAGATTTAACCAAAATTAGCTAAATAATTCAGATTTTTTTAATAAACTTGATTCATAATGAATAATAACACGTGCCTGCCGATAGCATCCGATTTCATGCACTATTCTTCGATAATCTTGGATGAGTTAGAATTATCTATCTGTTTACTCTAATATGTTTTAGTGTGTTTATGTTTACTGTCACATTCATGACCACGTGGATTTCACATTCCGTCAATTTCGAAAACATCGCAAATCGAGCGGAAGATTCTTTTAAGCCACTACACTCTTCCCCGGAGCAACAACAAAAACCACCCTTAGCTGCCAATCTTCCGTTCAGCAAAGCAGTTCCGTTTAGTTAATGCAGTTTTGGACCCCAAACAGTGGCAGACGATCGGATACTAGATTACTGGAAACATGACCGGAAAAGGTTCCAGCAGATGCGCTTCTCAGTTCTCTAGATTGAATTCCAACGTCTGAAAGAACTCATCGAGGACTAGTCCACCCCCGGGGTCAAGTTAGCCAATCTGCACTCCAAAGGGTATCCGGCTTAAATACTCATCCTCTCTGGTCCATTACTGCCGTCCCATTCTCTGACCCACAGATTCCGATCGCGCTAATCTACCTAAATATCAGCGACAATGCCTGGCAAATCCCCTAACAACTCCCCGGTTCGCAACCCATCAGCAGCAGAAGAAGAAGCTGAAGTCCGGCACTCCGCCTATACCACTCCCAACCAACAACCTCCCTCTCAATATCTAGACAACCCCTCAACGAGTACTCCCGAAATCCAGCCGTCAACCAAAACTCGTTTGGTCTTACCGAGGGTTTTACAACCACCTCAGCTTCCCACCCGGAGGATGCTCAATTATTTAATGATTCTCAGCCATGCAAGTATCCAAGCAAACCTGGTGCTGCTCGGTCAGACGTCGGTTGCACCTATTTGGGCAGAACCCATTATCCAGGTTGCGATTCGTGAGCTCGAAGCACCCACATTCCTCATCGAACTCTGACGAAATCCACCTCAACATCTCTACACTGAGCGTTCATAAGGGCCAATGTTTTAAATGTAAACAATGGGTTTTTTCTTAAATTTTCCTAATTCAAATTCTATCCATGCAAGCCACTAATTCTATCGGATAGGAGCACTCTCCCTCTACACAATCATTGTGATATTTTACTTGAGCGAGTTTTCATCTTCGAGAAATTCGCGGAAGAAGTCATTGATTACGTTTTAGACATTGGCCCTTATGAAAAAGCAACAGAGAGTTTTTTTTTTGCTTGTTTTGATTTCCGTCGATCTTGTTTTCCGCGCTGAGCACCAATGCTACCGACGCCAGGTAGGCAGCTCCCGCACCTGGACCCTACCTATCGACCCATCCACTCATGTACCGGGGACCAACGGCTTTACTTCCCTTCCGAAGAAAGGCGTGATCAGAGATTTTATACCTCAGAACATCCCGGCGACGCTGACTGGGATTGAACCCAGGCCTGCTGGGGTGAAAGGCAATCACGCTTATGACAATCACGAGGAAAAAAAGATAGATAGATATTTGACCCGATATATTAGAGATGTGATCGATAAAAAGACGATATTATTCATTTTAAATATTTGAACGCAATTATTTCGGATAAAATAAATGTGCATGGATTTAAATCAATTCATCAAACTAAAAGATATTTTTGGATAAAATTTGAATAAATCTGGGACTTTCATCCCCCTCGGATTTGCGTCGGTTCACGACACAACCCAAGTAACCATAGGCACATTATTTCGCCTTTTTGGCTATATACGGGCCTCATCAGAACTTACAAATACTGGTATAGCATTTGTTCAGCTGTATATAGCCAAAAAGGCGAAATAACGTGCCTATGGTTACTTGGGAATCTACCTTAAGAAGTTTCTTCCAGCGTATCCAGGAAATTTCTTCCGTCTTCTGCAGGAAACTCTATTAAACCGGATGTATCTATCAAATTGTCCCAGACATTTATTTAGTCATCCCGAGCGTCATCCTAAAATTTTCTCCATAAGCCATTATTTGTAGGTTTATTTCCGACTTTATTGGCAGGTTTTTCCTCGGGTTTTTCCGAGCTTCTTCTGGCTTCCCCTGAAAATGGCGACTTCTGGAATTTGCTTCCGATTTCCAAAACGTTTCTGGCTTCCTCTGGATGCGTTGACCCTTTTTTTTCGAAAGTTTCTTTAAATTTACGCCCGACGTTTCTCAATATTTGTTAAATCCGACTTTTCATAGAACTGCCAAAGAAACTTCCTGCCTCGCTTCCTCCAGAAGAACTTCTTTATTTTTTCTCTGGAAGTTTTTTTTTCAGCTCCTTCAGAAGCTTATTGAAATATTCCTCGGAAATTTCTTCCGAATTTTCCTGGAAAGTATATTTTCTGATCTTAGTCCAGAAGTTTTAATTTTGGCCTGACAAAAAACCTCGCAAAAAACCGAGGGGGCGACACATCTAAATCTCAATTTTCTAGATGCTCAAAAAATCTCACACTAGCGAATCAATATTCCAAAAATAATCTTTTATTTCTCGCATCTACTTGCATCGCGCTTCATCTGTTTTGCAAGAAATCTGGACGGTTTTAACTTTTACGGGTTCACACTACACAGCAAAAAAAAATGTAATATCGATCAACATAATTCAAGCTGATGTATGAAATAATGATGTAATAGCAAAAAGCAGATACAATATTACATCAATTGATGTAATTTTGTTCGCAAAATCGATGTACATCGTACAATGTGATATTACACAACCGATGGATTGACCTGGTTGCATCAGTTTCGATGTAATATTCAACAACTTTTTTTGCTGTGTAGTGAATACTTTTCCGAACCGAAATGGACGTTTGCTAGATCTTGTCCTGGCAAATGATTCCGCACTACCAGGCACTTCTGTTTCCTTGCCCGTCGAGCCACTGATTGATCTAGATGCCGATCATCCCGCTCTCGTCGTGTCATTTAGTTTACCTGCGCCGATTCTTTTTACGCCGTCATCTGAGTGCTACTCTTTGGACTTTCACCGGGCCGATTATGTTGCATTGAACAATGCGCTTCCGGAAATTGATTGGCAATTTATCGAAACTGCCGCTAGCGTGAATGATGCAGTGGATTTTTTCAGTGCTGCACTGGAAGATGCTATTTTTCGCATCGTCCTAGCTCGACGACCACCGCTAAAGCCTGCATGGTCTAACCCACGCCTACGCGTGCTAAAACGTCAACGCTCTGCCGCCCTCCGAAAGTATTGTAACTCTTGCTCGCCGTACTACAAACGACTGTTCAATTTTGCGAGTCGTAGTTATCGAAATTACAATCGTTTTCTCTATAATCGACACGTGAGACGCACGGAAGCGAACCTTCACACGAATCCGAAAAGTTTTTGGTCATTTGTGAACTCAAAACGGAAGGAATCCGGGTTGCCTTGTTCCATGTTTGCTCATCATTTCAAGCAAGTGTTCAACGATTTCTCCGCTTCGCCAACACAAGTGCTGGATGCTGCTGTTGGGATGCCACGTGATGTGTTTAGTTTCGTTATTCCGCGCATTTCAGAAGACATGGTGATAGCCGCAACACGCAGACTGAAGCTATCGTTCGCCTCCGGACCTGATGGCATTCCGTCATCAGTTCTAAAACGTTGTGTAGCCAATCTCTGCCTTCCACTTGCGAGGCTATTCAATCTCTCGGCACAGCAATGTGAGTTCCCCTGCCGCTGGAAACTTTCTTATCTGTTCCCAGTGCACAAAAAAGGAGATAAACGGAATGTCATAAATTATCGTGGAATCACCTCCCTGTGTGCCTGCTCAAAACTGTTCGAGATTTTCATAAATGGTGCTCTGTTCGCACGCTGCAAAAATTATATCGATACAGAACAACACGGTTTCTACCCGAAGCGCTCCGTGTCCACGAACCTGGTGCACTTCATTTCTAACTGTCTGCGATGCATGGATTCAGGATGGAAAGTCGATACTGCGTATATGGATCTAAAAGCTGCATTTGACACGGTGGACCATAATATCTTGCTGGCCAAGCTGGAGATACTTGGCATCTCGTCAACTGCTGTGGATTGGTTCAGATCTTACTTGGTGAATCGCTATGTACATGTCAAGATTGGCGCGTCGGAATCGGATGTTTTCTCAAACAACTCGGGAGTCCCGCAAGGCAGTAACCTAGGACCGCTACTATTTTCGATCTTTTTAAACGATGTCGCCTTGCTGATACCATTAGGATGCCGCGTTTTCTATGCAGACGATACGAAAATCAACAAAATTATTAAAAGCCTCTCGGACTGCTGGGATCTCCAGAATATGTTAGGTATTTTTGCTGACTGGTGCTCAAGAAATTTGTTGAGTCTAAGCATAGAAAAATGTAACATTATTTCATATCACCGAAAAATTGAACCAATCATGTTTGACTATGTTCTCTACGAACGCTGTCTTGCTCGTGTAGAGCACATAAAGGATCTCGGCGTTACCTTGGACTGCAGACTCACTTTCAGAATCCACTACAATGACATCATCTCCAGAGCTAATCGACAATTGGGCTTTATTTTCAAAATTGCCGACGAGTTTCGTGACCCGCTATGTCTCAGGTCACTTTACTGCTCGCTTGTGCGATCCTTATTGGAGTCAAGTTCAGTTGTTTGGTGCCCTTTCCATGCTAGCTGAATCACTAGAATTGAATCCGTTCAACGCAAGTTTGTGAGATATGCTCTTCGTTTCCTCAACTGGCGTGACCCAACGAACTTGCCACCGTACGAGGAGCATTGTCGTCTCCTGGGAATCGAGCCATTAGAGGTGAGACGGACGGTCGCTCAAGCTATGTTCGCTGGAAAGCTGCTTACAGGTGACATTGACTGCCCAACACTGCTGTCACAGCTAAATATGTATGCCCCTGAGAGGTCTCTTCGTCAACGCGACTTTCTGTTTTTGGAACCACGGAGCCGGAATTATACACAACACGAGCCAATTCGAGCAATCAGCCGGCAATTCAACAACTTTTTTTTATATGTTCGACTTCAATGTATCAGCTGACGTGTTTCGTCATCGGCTACTTGGCCTTTTCCGTACCGTTGACCGTAACTATTTAGTTTAAGTTTTATTCATTTAGACAGTATTTGTCAGTTGAATTTTTCAATAAACAATAAACAAATCTTCAAAATCGACATAAATCTTCCTTCTGTCTACTCAGTGTGCATGCAGCTAGCCACAGCAAAACACAATCTTTTCTGCATCGTAGATAGAGTCGTCCCCCTCGCAAAAAACGGCAAAAATATGAAATTAATTAAATTAGAGGATACCGATTTTTTTTACACATTTGATACTGATATGCTTGAAACAATCTGGCAACGCTGCTGGAGGTTCCCATTAATGTCACAGTTGATTGTTCTGTTCACCTAAATTTTCTCCGCGGAGAGAGAGACGCGTCTCTCTCGCAAGCTCTCAAAAAGCAAAACAAAAGTAAAGTAACTGTTGTAGACAAACGTCAAAATTTATCAAAATAAAAACATCACTTTCGTAATCGTGCATGCGGACGGCACACATTTTCCTTCGGTAAATTTTCTTATAGAATTATCCTAATCGTTACGTGTGAAACAACCCGAAAATGGCCAGCAGTCGTCTAGAGAAGATTGGCACAATCGTATCTCGGTAAGTGAATTCTTATACCCTCAGGAAAAATTCTCATATAATACCAAATACTGTTTCTCCCAAGTACCCAAGGGCTTTTACGTTCCGGTGCAATGAAATGGGATGACCGACCTCTGTGGTACGACATTGTCAAGGCATTTCCTCCGAAGGAAGAACCGCGTTTCGATCGCCCTGCACCTAATGTTTCCGTGAAGCCCATCTTCTACCCCGAGGATATCATTCGGTCGTAAGTACAGAAATCTATTCTTATTCTCCTGACCAGACCAGAGCTTTAACCATTATGCACTGCCATCCAACAGGAAATTCCATAAACAGAACCGAAACCAGTACGTGACGAACCTGGCTGACACGCGCAACAAAACCGCCACGCAGCATTTCGTAGAGATCTATCAAAACTTACAACAGCAGGGAGCATTGGACGAAGAAAAGGTATTCGAAACGGCTCAGGAACTGCTGGATGAAAAATTGACTCAGTTAAAGTACGAAAAGGCGGCCGCACCCGTGGGGCAGCAGCCGACGAGTGTTGCTCCGACGCAGTTGGCTAACGATACGAAAGCTAAAACCGTTCAATTGGAGGATATTTTCAAAGAATAGAAGTTTAGTCTTGGTTAATATAGTGGAGAATAGGAAACGTTAACTGTTTTGTTCATTGTTTTTCTTAAAATCACTGTCCGACGGCCGGCTGTGCTCATGTTTCTTTCTTTAGATCAGTTTGTTGTTAGTTAGCAGATCCTCGCTTCACCTTCGCTGCAGCTCTGTAAATATGAAATAACAAATATTGTTATACATATCATACTAATCCAGTCAGTAAGGTTTTGCTGGGTTTATGAATTGCGGAAATGTTCGGTAAAATAAGATATAATTGATTTCTTACGGATAACGGTTATTTGATTTGATATTTTCTGCAATTCAAAAACCCAGTAAAAAATACGGACACTTATAAAATAGAGTGATAGTCCTGTTGACGGCATTCCACGTGACCTTATCATCTCTACACATTTATCGTACAAAAAGTGTTGAATACAGTTTCACCAAGGGCATCTCCCTTCGTATTGGCTCAATTCTTGAACAGTAGAAGACCACGTGCTCCGAAGTTTCCTCCTCGTTACCCCATGCTCATGCACGCCTCTTTAGCTTAGCTAGCCGGCGTTGCTAATTCGCTGATCGTCTCTTCACTTTCGCACTGCTTCAAATCTTTGGCAGTCAAAGACCACATTCTGCTGAGTATCTTTCAGATTTCCACAATCAGGATAGAGGGGTGTCCGAAACGATGTAGGTACTTCCAGAAGAAGACTTCAGATCTAGAGATTCGGTTATAGTTTGAGTTCATCTACCGTACTTCACTGTGTGCCATTCGTACTGCCATCTGACCATCGACTCAGCTCTCACTACCACATAACTGATGGGGAAGTGCAAACAAATCGGTGAATCAAAAAGTGGTTCGTTTTTCTGCTCAACAAACGATGCGTTGTGGTAGCGTTCCACACGGGCTTATATGTACACTTACACTATCATAGCATGCTGCCGCCTATCTTAACTGCAGGCAGAAGATGCCTTTTACCGCTAGGTACGCTAGTGTTCGCCAATGGAGAGTGGAGCCACGTTCTGATCCGACGTTCCCCTTCTGTTCTGTGCTCACTGCCTTACGTATTCTACGTGTTCTATACGTGCTCACAACTTCCGTGCCAGATGCGAGCCTGTTTATAAATTACGTAACGCAATAGGGGAAGAGGTGAGTGTAGAAGTATGTTACAATTTGTTACACTTTGTTGGTAAGCTAGCCACTAACAAGTCCACTACGGCGCCGTCAGTGCAGTTTAGTTAGCAACCAAATGATCCTCCAATTTTGAAAGGACCATCAGCAAAATGTAAAATTTATGCTACCCTAATAGTAAAACACATCTCAAACGGTTTTTCATATCCAACTACCAAATGCATATGATCTTATCATTATGCATAAAGCCCAGTCACAGTATCACAACACTTCACACCACCAATGAGGCGCTCTCTAGCACTTGGTAATTCAATCTTTGATTATCATCCATTCTCATTTTCGCCAGAGACAGAAAGTCATTCTAATATCAAATCACAAATTAGCCGAAAAAAGCGCGGTCATTTGTCTTGCCAATGTATGTACAGAGGAATGGTGTCATCAAAAGTACACACAGCTGGAGACACATCGCGATGGCATTCGCTCGCTATGGGGATAGAACATGGACGGATTATGAAGACAAATGAACTTTAATTGCATATTTCTTTCCTCTTTCTCTAGATTTTCCGCGCTGTGAGCGGATGGGTCTAATTTTTTTTCGCGCTTGTCCACCGTCGGTCTTTGCGAGAGGATTATTGTATTAATATTTGCATAAAAATTACTTTCGTCTTTCAGTTGCACCGGAGCACTGCCAGAATGACGAATGTGAAATTGCAGTGCCTTGGAGTGCTTTCTTTGATCATCTCGGTGTGTTTTAGACAGGGGTAATGGATTCAGGAGGTGCGAAAATATTTAGCAATTTAGCCGACATTGGACATTTGGGCACTAGTTTGGGCATAAGTTTAGAATCGCAGTGAATCAATAAAATGTATGGTACAGGTGAACTGTACCGTCGATAATCATATTTATTTTGCGTTTACTAATTTCTCCATAATTAGTATTTAGAGTTTCATGAACAATACATTAAAGACCATGTCAGCCTCCCAGGTCCATATCGGCCTTACAGTGGCAACGGAACAGGTTCCAATGTTCCAGACAAGGTATTGGAAGCCCCGTACAGGCAAAATGTCAAGCTTTTTTTTTATAATTTTAGGACCAATTTATCCGAAACCATGCCACATAACCAATGGTGCTTGGTGTTCTCTCGCATTTCCCTTTCTTACCTGGTCTGATATCAATTGTTAGGTGCATTGTGCTCCTTATTAAAAAATCACATTATGCTAAAGGGTGTTACGATCAAAATTTGGTCGACTTAAACTTGAGGCATTTCTTTTAAACGAGCATTAAAAAAAACCTTAAATAATAATAATCAAAAATAGCGAAAGTTTATGTATTGGGATGAATAACTTTAAAATGGGTTAAGCTCGGATAGAAAAGCGTCTCCAGTCAAGTTAGGGTCGTAGCATAGAATTATTTTTATGAATTGATTATCATACAACGCTTACTATGTTAACATCCCCCCTTAGGCGGAATTTCTTCAACACGCAATAGCTTTCGGTTTTCAATTAGCTTCAAGCCAGGTTATGCCTTAGTGAAGATGTCCGCAGGTTGAAGATTGGAGGGGACATGTTTCAATTTGATTGACTTCAGATCCACTTGCTCTCGGATTAAATTATGTGTTTGGTTGTTACTGAATACCCAATTTCTTTTTCAGCAAGACTGATAGGGGAATTTACGTATTCTCGTCAATCTAAGCAGCGTCTGCACTTCTACTAGCATTTTCTCAGCGTCACGCACATATATGATGTGTCTGTTTGTTTACATTCATCTGCTGCTTGCTTCTCTATCCATTCCAATCGACAGAATTTTTCAAAACGTTTTGAAAGCGTTTTTACAACGCTCCAAACTTCTCAGGTGAGTGTGACTATTGTCGGCAGCCTCTTTTTCTTCTGCAACCTTCCCATTAGAACTGCGTGTTAACCAGCTGTTCTATTATCGGCAACTCGAAATCAACCCCATTTTGTAGAGCGTATGCTTTATTTGAAGAAAAATGTAGCATTACTGGATTGCTCGATCGTTCAAATATAATCAGATTGAAGCTGAAAGGCTAAACAATCGTTTGGACACATTCAGGGAAGTGCGTTGATGGGAAAACATAGTGAAATTAACGTTTAAATTTAGGTTGCCGAAAACAGTCAATGGGTGCCGAAGCCAACATTTACCCTAGCACTCTTCTTGTCGCACTTGATGGTAATTGAATCCTTAGCGCCATGTAGTTCATGCAAGTTCCACTAGATGACTTCTTGTGTTGCCGTTGAGAGGGCCATATATATCAGCTTCTGTAGTTGATAAAGCAAAAGTGGATTGCTTTCGGGAACTTTACGATACAGCACCGCCGCTTTGAACGAAGGCGTAAACGCTGAAGGATCGCCTCATCTCAGGACCGTTTCCCCAATCACTATAGCCCGATAGTTTGGAATCAGCAGATTTTCGGTACGACAGCTTACATGCTTTGGTGCAGGGGGTAAGGCACTCTGCTACCTTGTGTCTGTGCTTATTGTGTTCCATGTGTATTTTTGGGTGTCGGAAGGTGTTTTTGGGTGTTTCAGCATGTTAACCCAGCTCCGAATCCTTTGTTGTTGTGCAGATGTGCAGATTAGTAATTCAGGGGAAGCATGTCAGAAGGGTATAACTCGAAACGTAAACAATGACTTTGAACGTCGATTTCTCTTGAATGACCACACATCTACGGAATCTGACTACACTAGCTCATAGAACCAACATTTCTCTGTCAGATGATTTAGTTAGTTTGAGTGGGTATGTAGTCATTCGTAAGAAACTGACGATCCAAGTCATTGTTTACGTTTCGAGTTAGACCCTTCTGACATGTTTCGCCTGAATTGATCAATTTAGATGATCCAAGGGGCTTGCACGCAGTCATCTTTTCGTAGCATAAAAAAGTTAAAACAAAGCAATCAATGCTAGGCCCAAGCGTGGGCCCGCGGTTATGCTCGCTACGGCTACTTGTTATTAGTAGAGATAGGAGTGCCACTTCCCTGAGATGATCAAGCATACCACAGCATGCTTTCGGCGCTACTGTATTTTTTTATACAGGGGGAATCTGCTCCCAGACACCTGAGAAGATAACTCAGGGTGTGGGGATGGGAGAAGTAGCGCTCCCCCCCTATCCTGTGCTCTTGTCCTTTGCCCTTCCCGGAACCGCCCGAAAGCATTACATCATGGGAGGGGGTCGGTTGCGCTATGGCGCATCGCTAGTGGTGGATCACAGACGTGACACTTGCTACTGCACAGTGAGCAGCTGTGCAGGGCCTTCCTCTTATCGTTCGCTGTTAATTGTTCGCCGGACTTCTAGAGCATACGTGATAGCAATCCAACTGTCCACGGCGGGCCAGTTGAGATGTGACTGCGTACCAGCTGCATGTGCTGCGACTTGGTCAGAGTCGTCTACACTCTAAGGCTCTGAACCATTTGGTGGATTATTTTAACTTTTGGTTAAAATTTGACAGATGGAAAGTTATCGATTAACCCTGCTATCCGAGCATGGTTATTTCTGACAGACAAGAAGTTAAATTTTGACGACCGTGGCTCGAAAACCGGTCGATCGACAGCACGGGGATTTTCGAACATAAGAAATAACTTTCGAAATGTCACTTTTAACTACGAGTTAAATTTAACTCGTGGTTAAAAGTGACATTTCGAAAGTTATTTCTTATGTTCGAAAATCCCCGTGCTGTCGATCGACCGGTTTTCGAGCCACGGTCGTCAAAATTTAACTTCTTGTCTGTCAGAAGTAACCACGCTCGGATAGCAGGGTTAATCGATAACTTTTCATCTGTCAAATTTTAACCAAAAGCCTTAGGCTCTGAACCATTTGGTGGATTATTTTAACTTTTGGTTAAAATTTGACAGATGGAAAGTTATCGATTGACCCTGCTATCCGAGCTTGGTT